TTCAAAATCCTAGGTGGCTGCTTCTCTGCTGCTCTTCTTGGAGGAGGAAGATGCCTTCTGGATGATGTGTGCTATCATCGAGGAATTGGTTCCTGCCTCCTATTTCAGTACCACTCTCATGGGCGTGCAGACAGACCAGCGTGTCCTGCGGCAGCTCATCGTGCAGTACTTGCCTCGCCTGGACAAGCTGCTGCAGGAGCATGACATTGGTAAAAGTGTGCCCCAGAAACCATAGCTTTTCTTGCCAGGGTGACATGCAGACAAAGACTGTTCTTTCTTCACAAAAGGAGAGCAATAGGGAGAGGAGCGAGCCTCCTGACCCCAGAGGCAGTGCTTGGAGAACAGCCCTTAGAAGAGTCCATCTTCACTGGTTGACTGACTTCTTCTGTTGTGATTGTTTTCCATGTTTTTATTCACAGAGCTCTCCTTGATCACCTTGCACTGGTTCCTCACCTCTTTTGCTAGTGTTGTCCACATCAAGCTGCTGCTGCGTATTTGGGACCTCTTCTTCTACGAGGGCTCTCTGGTGCTGTTCCAAGTCACTTTGGGCATGCTAAGTATGAAGGTGATTCCCCATTTCTCTTCCTCCTTTACAATACTTCAATATTTAATTCTGAGATTTAGGGGCAAGAAGGTTTTGTATCCATTTGCTGTATGTGGTTTGGGAGTGTGCTAGGGAAGACGACTTCCTGCTGCCTTCAGAACTGGAGGCTGTGAGAAACTTTTAAGGCACTTTGCAGAAATTAGGAATTGCTGTTTCCTGTGCATAGATCATTTGTTGCCCCATAATTAAACCTCATCAGCTGCCCCTCTCTATTCAGTCTAGATCCCAACCTGAGGGTGCATGTTACCTAAACCAAGATACCCCTTGATTTTGCACAATCTGTGAGGAGATAGAGAAAGCCAAATTTGTGATCATCTGAGAAGCATTGGATGGCAGTATTGAATACTCTAAGAGATGAGCATTATCCTGACTGCATTTGATTTGACTGGCCTATATTTAACTGCCTGATCTTTTCATTTTTATGTGGGAAACAATTTTATGTTCAGTTTTCTGTGTAAAAGACAAGGGAGATCCTGCTGGGAGTAAGGGAAAGATAGAGCACAGTTTGATGTGGTAGGTGCTCTGTAGTGTGTGAGACTGAGCAGTTTCCATTCTTTTATCTCTAGCAAGATCCCCGCGGTGCCCAGTTGTAGTGGTTGGTGCAGAATGGGTTTGGTTTTGTTTTTCCTTGCTGATTTGATTTAATTTCGGGAATGAATGCTGTGATTCAAAAAAATGCCAGCTATAATTCTGGGAGGAGGGTGTAATAGAGCAGGAAAAGATGCTGTCCCCCTCTCAAAAGCATCTTGGACTTTTCCTGGTGAAGTTGTTTTTATGAAATTGTCCAGTTGTACCTGCTCAAGGTGTGCACTGAATGTAAAAGTGCATCTAGGAGCCTCAAGAGCCCAACTGTCATGTTCACTGCTCAGTGTGGCAAAAAATCACTGTGTTGTTGCAGGAGGATGAGCTAATCCAGTCAGAGAACTCCGCCTCCATCTTCAACACGCTGTCAGACATCCCAAGTCAGATTGAAGACGCAGACGTGTTGCTGCGCGAGGCCATGCGCGTGGCTGGCTCGCTGACAGACGTGGCGGTGGAGACCCAGCGCCGCAAACACTTGGCCTACCTCATTGCTGAGCAAGGGCAGCTGCTCAACTCCAGCACCACCGTCAACAACTTATCCAAAGTGAGTGCACAGGGTCCCACCTGCCTCTGTTGCTCCGCTTTTACCATTCCCTTACATAGTCCCACACTATTTCTGTTTGCAAGCAAGAGGTCCTCCTGTTTGAGAGGATTTTTGGCTCCAGGATAATTGTCATCTGGTGACATCAAGGTATTGGGATGTTGGAGGACAGTCTATACTAATGAAATGCTGCCAGATCTGTCCTGGTTGATAAATCCTCAGACGAAAGAGGTATTGGCATTGATTGTAATTATCATTAATGAGAGTTATGATGAAATGCAACACATTTCATTAATGGAAACTAAAAGAAACAGCATATGCTTTTGGCAGAACTTGCTTGAAGCACACAGAGAGTAGGAACTGGATTTAATCCGTTAGTAAGAAACTGGTACAGTAAAATAACCTTGGCATGTAGAGTCAGAAAACAGCAGCAACTGCCTTTGAGAAGCTGAATAAAAAATGCACCTGTATTTAATCTTGGACTAAAATCTACAGTTGCAGACAAGACGCTCCTGCAATTCTAAAATGTAATAGTCATCCACTTAGAAATTTATATACAATTACATGTGTAGCTGCAACAAATAAAATTATTCAAGTGAGTTGTGGTTGATTCTTGAACTTCAATTATGCTTTAATAATAATTAAGCTATAAATAACCTGTTGCACATGGGAGAGATCAAGCAGTGGAGCTGATTCATTGCATTAAGACTAGAATAGCTCCTGTTTAAAATTGCCAGTTCACTTGCCTGCCCCTTCTAATGCTAGCTGTCAGGACCCCTTACCCAGAGCTGACTGGTGTGGAGGGTTGGTTTATTTAATTTCTGAAATCTCTCCTAATGTGTGCGCTTTGTTTTCTCTCTTCCGTTCCCTCAGATTGTGCGGCGCAGGACTCAGCGCAGGAAATCTGGCATCACCTCTCTGCTTTTCGGTAAGAACAACCATCTGCCCTTCATATGCTGTTGATGGTTATTGAAGCCCAGGAGGGAGGGAAGTGAGCAAAGCAGGGAAACACTGGGACTGAGGAATTGGAGAGAAGGGAGACAGAACTGAAGGATGAGAGGGAAGAAGTGCAGTCTACTACTTGATTGCTTTGAGCTCAGAAAGTAAATTTTAGGTTAGACTGTTAGTCCATGAATGGTGACCAACAGCAGGTGCAGCTCAGCCCAGCTGTAATGTCCTTGCACTGATCAACAGGGCAGACACATTTTCTGGCAGACCATATGCAGTCCACAGGCTGGATGTGATACTCTCCTGATGTTACTCTGCTCAGTTCAAGAACATCTCTGAAGATCTGAGACAGGACAGGATGTCCAGTGTGCCACCCATCAGAATTTATAAATGCAAAACATCATTATGTTTCCCCTTACTTACTCTGAGAATTCAGTGCTATGAACACTTTTGAGTCTTAATTTTCTTCACTTATGAGCTAAGCCAAAAAATGTCCATAATGCACACAGCCAGAATAGATTTTGCATGGCTTTAACACTAACTTATTTCTTTGACTCCGTTAGAGTCCCTTCTACTGTAAGCCTTATTGTCATCACCATCCTTGCAACTGGTTAGCTTTCTTGAAGTTGCCACATGTCACCACAGGAATATTTTTTTTTCTGGAGGAAGACAACATACTGAATTTACAGGGTTCCAACAGTGTTCCTGTTGTAGTTGAAATGGCCTGAATAAATCTAAAATTGTGTTTTACTGGTCTTTCCAGAGAACAGTTTTTCTGATGTTTTCCAGGAAAGTGATATATTGTCACAGGCTTCCTCTATGCTTCCACATAGAGCATTATGTATAAAAATTCTGGTAGGATCCCAATGAAGCTGTAAAGTCAGGCATGCAGAAGTGAGGAAATGCAGAGAAGTTGCTTGAGCAACCTACACCCAGAGCCCTTGTATGTAATGTTATCATACAGACAGTACAGACTGAACTGGAAGGGAACTCGGCTGTCACATACGTCTTTCTTGTGTCTCAGACAGTCTCCTTTACCATGTTTGAGTAGTTTTATGATGGTAATAGTGAGTTATACACGTGCACAAAGATAAAGTTCAAGCTCCAAAATATATCCGTGGTAGAACTGAGATGATTGATAGTGTTTTCTCATTTTAGTGGGGTTTCTGTACAAGGACCGTCATGTTTTTTACCCAACATTATTCCTAGTATTTGAAATGTTGATTAAAAACAAGAAGTTGACCAGAATGGAGAACTTCAGCCCAAGTGAGAAGAAGGAAAACTTCGCCTTATATTGGGAACTGACAACAGAGCATTGGAAAGTCTTCTGCTTGTGATAGTTACTGTATGGCACTGGTACATATCCCTCATCTGGGAGGGAATAAGAACTTACCCAGAGCTTAATTCTTCTTCCTTAGAGTGAATTCAGATGTAGTAGTAACTTGGACAGGAGTCACAGAAGCACAGGAGCATTGTTTAGAAGAGACCTCTCGCTGTCTATGTTCCAGCATCTCCTGCTCGAAGCCAGGCTCTTGCTCATGTTAGGTCAGGTCAGCCAGGGCTTCTTCTAGTTGAGACTCAGGGAGTTGAACCAGATTTCCAATGAAGGAATAGAAAGAAACAATGAGAAGTAATTTGGTGGAGAGCAAGATGTGCATGTTGCTCTTTTCCTGTTGGATGGGCACTGCAACAGGGAAATGCAGGAGAGCTAGTCCTGCTCTGCACAGCTGTGCAGCTAGTCAGTCTTTGCAGGCTCAAAGCAGAGCTTCCTCATATGTGGCTGATCACGCACTGGTTTCCTGTTTGGAAATGTAGGT